TTCGTGACTAGACGTCTTGTGTCATATCTCAGGAATACCTGGAGTGAATTCTTTAAATTGAACTTATGGAGGAACTCTCTGTGTTTAAATGTCACTGTGACCTCACAACAAACATTTGGGTTTTTTGTGTTTTTTTGTTAATGAAGAATTCGTACAACATTTATACAAATGTCTAAAATGATAAAATTGCTAAAGGTCAAATCAGGGCAGACTTGGATATGAACTGCACCTCTAACCCATGGGTAAAGGCATAAAACTGAGGTGATTATTCTAGTGCCAGTTGTTTTATAAAACCCTTATCTTAGTTTAAAATTAAAAAGAGCATGGTTCATCTTTTGGAAATCAGCAAATTTTCTGCTAACTATAATAGTCACAGCACAAATTCAGAGTAAAAGTGCTCAAACCTTTACGTCACTGCAAGTCTTGTGGGAAAATAAGACTTTCAGTACAGGGAAAAATAAGACTTTTTTTCCCTGTACTGAAAAAAATCGATTTGATATGTCATAAGATAGAACTTGTGTAGTTTCTTTGTAGTTTTGCACAGAGGAGGGTAATTCTGTCTCTCTGCCTCCCTCTGCAGCTCTGGTCGAGGCCTGCATGGAGAGGAGGAGCCTGGCGCAGTCGCTAAGCAACCTGCTTCCTGTCAGGATGGCCACAGCCATGATGCTTCCCTACACTCTCACCCTGGAGTCTGCTATGTCCTTGACTCTCAGGTGCTATAGGACTTCATTACGTCTGTCTGTTTGTACATGCAGTCCCTTTTATTGAACTAATTACCTTTAAACTGTATTTCACTTAGAGTGCATACAGTGAAAATCTATCTTAGCACCATTTTACTATTACTGCAATATTTATAGTATTATTTAAGTTGGTTCAGTCAGTTACTGCTCTTACTGTCTGGGAGCAACTGTAACCTTATAATTTCCTCAGGGATTAATAAAGTATTCTGATTTTGATTCTGGCGACTATGTCCTCTGGTGACTAATAATCGTTTGTCCCTTGTGTAGACTTTTGGAGTGGCTGCCAGATGTGCAGGAAGATGTGGTGTGGATTCAAGAACAGTTATTGAAAATCCTACAGTGTTTTCTTCGCCAGACCTCCAGACGCTTGTCCCGCAGTGTATCTGCCAGGTAGGTTTAGCCCTGCAGTTACACAAAGCTTTAACTTACTGTTTCTGCCATCCATTTATGCCACATATTTACCACGCCGGTCATTATGATGCCATGTTGATAAACCCCAAAACTGGATCTGCTTCATACAGTGAATGAACAGTGCTGAATTTCAACTTGGTTAAACCTACAGTAACTGGTTATGTGATCCTGTTGGGGGCAGCAGAAACAAGTAGCGACTAAAAATCCCTGTTCTGTCTGATAAATTGACCGTGTTGACACATCCAGCAGTTACAGAGCAACAGTATCATTTGGTTGCTGTAGCTATCTGCCGTGTAGCTCACAGAAGATGATCTACAGTGAGGTTTTAGGATTTATATGATAATTTGAAAGTGAAGCAGAGCCACTAACTGCAGATTCCCTCTCCTCGTTCACACGTCTGCATTTGATTCGTTGTCATAAAAATGTTTTTTTTTTGTATCTAAACCTGATTTAATAACACAAAATCACACAGTTACAGCTTACTCCATATTCATGCTGGTAAATACTTCTCATGAATACTAGGTTGTTCTGCCAACTGGAGCTGCACCACTACAAGTCCATCCCATCCCACTTCAGCTCCCCAAGCCTGTTTCCCACTTGGGTGAACGGGAGGAGCTCTTCAGTCCAGGATGTCTTCATGCGTCTGGAAAACTACAAGAGGCAGCTGCTTTCAGATGTGCTCTGTATCAACATGGATCTGCAAGGCTCCTTCAAAACTGGAATGATGTCACCAGATAACAGCTCTGCTACTGACCTTTCCTCTGACCTTTCCTCTGAAGGTCTCACAATGCACACAGGTTGTCTTAATCTTCCAAATGATGCTAACTCTGGAAACTACCAGTAGCTGCTAAGAGTACTGATAGAGAGAACATCAAATCAGATTTGAAGATCTGTCTTCTTCCTCATGTTAAGGTATTTTCGACTGAAAGAAGATCTTTCTAATATGATCGTCCCCATTTTCTAATGGTTGGAAATTTTAATTGTTTCACATATTTACACTTAACTTTGTATTAAATGCCTTTGGACCAGTGCATGACGCTGAACTGAGGTTTTTGCTCAACTATTGTAAGGCCATACACACATCATGATCGTATGTCTACAGAAGTGCATTTAAACTTAGCACATGTGCTCAGTCATGTACAGACTTGAATTACAGGATGTTGGAAACAAAGAATGAGCACTTGAGGTTGCACGGTTAAAATAGGTGTGTGTTTATGTTTTTGGTGGAGTGCTGACCAGTAGTTAATCAGAGTTTTCCTTCTGTATCCAGTCATGAGCTTTAAGTAACTTTTGCTACACAGAGGGCAAAACGACTGATGAACCAGTCTGTTTAGTACATGTACCTACTCCATTTATGTGATGCAAGTGTCAATGCATAGTGTGAAAGACAACACTTTATGTTTCTTGGTTCATTTTAATGGCAATGCCTTATGTATTAACAATTATTTATATGAAAAATACAAAAGTGCTTTACTTTTTCCAAATCACGTATATATTTTTTGATCATCTTGATTTATTTAGATGTAAGTTGAAGCTTTTTTATAAATGATTTTAAATATTTAGCATTGAATGTTGACAGATTTGATTTGTTGCTACATGTTTAGTGCATATGTAGTAAATCAAAAATGTGATATTTTTTTTTATGAAGTCCCATTAATCTGACTGTGCCTTTTGTTCGTAGGTTACAACCTACTTGTTAAAATTCTTCTTGCACTGTGTGCTGCATCTTTAACTGTGTGATCTACTCCCATGCTGTGCCTTAACCTTCAATGAAATAATTGCAAAATGAGTGCCAAATGATGTTAAAAAAAAAATGTTTCAGAGAAAAATATGTATGTTATTGTGAAATAAAGTGATGATCAATATTTGTGTCTTCATATTCCTCTTCTCACATTAGCCTGTAAACCTGTAGCTGACAATGAAAAGAAGAAAAATACCGCAGTGAAATGAACAAGGACAAAATAACACAGCAGGATACAGTTGGACAGCAACTGAAAGGGTAACATAAATAGTGTCCTAACATGGACAATGCCATGTTAGGACAAAAGAAAAGCTGCCACAATTTCCCTGTTTGCTAGTAGCTATTGAGAAACTCAAGCAAATTCACCCCAACATCAGACTGTGAAGTGCTCAGAGAAACTATGAAAAACTAAGAGCTACATCTCAGACTAGACAGACCTCAGTTAGCATGTTAAATGTTTAAGTTCATGAGAGAACAATTAAAAAAGACTAAATAAGTATGACGTGTTTTCTCAGGAGAAATGCTCTTCTCTCTAAAAGGACCATGACATTTGTATCTGGAAAAAAAAAGCCAAGATTTATAAGACAATCTCAGATTAGATCAGGAGTGGAGTGGTGATGATTTGGGTTTGTTTTACAGCCACAGAATCTGTGCAGCTTACAGTCTAGTCTGTGACTGTGTCTGTGGTAAGAGACTGAAAATGCCATACAGAAAACAATTAATCCAAGTGATATATATTGTATCCTCTGGACAGGTAATATATTACATATGCAAACAAAATACATTCTTGTTAGTATCAAGAATATATATTTTACTTTTTATCCCCCTTTTCCATTATATTTGCATGAACGTGCATGACTCTTGAGTTCTTCTTGAGTTACTAACATAACACAGCACTGCATTCACTTATTCAGTCACTTTAATTCTAAAACTGTGTATATACTGTATATTCTGTGTATTTATCAACTCATTCTTATTGCCTGTTTATGCCCTGTCCTTATCTTTAACGTCATGCTGCTCTGTTGTATCTTAATTGCCCCTTGGGGATAAATAAAGTCTTTCTGATTCTGATTTAATTTAAAATATGTTAAATTATTGCAGTACAAAAAAAGGAGTTTGTTTTTTGGGTCAAATTGAGGAGCTTTTATTGTTGTTTTGGTTAGAGGAGTATTTGAATATCCCCCCCATTCTGTTCACATATAATAGCAAAACGTGTCACACATAAGTCTCATCACTTCTGGCCTTTTAAGAAAGCTGGTGAACTTGGTATCATCCAGTTATTAGCCATAACTACCCTTAACTTACACATGCACATGCACTGATAAACACACCACTGTGCAAAACTACATTCCATGTGCAATAACCCAAACAATACAAAACGCTGTTTATTTACATATTTACTTTTCTGTCTCTCTCTCTCTCTATATATATAATTAACCTATCCCCACTAAGTGCATGTCTTTGGACAGTGGGAGGAAGCCGGAGTACCCGGAGAGAACCCACGCAAACACGGGGAGAACATGCAAACTCCACACAGAAAGACCCCGGCCTGATGTGGAATTGAACTCAGGACCTTCTTGCTGTGCGGCAACAGTGCTAACCACCGTGCCACCGTGCTGCCCAATTATAACATTATAAATTATAATAATAATATTTTTTTTTTCTTTTTTTGTCTAAATACTGTTCATATGTATTTACCCCCCACCGCCATGTTTGCACTGAGTAGGAGATGCATCTGTATAGTGACAATGAAGGCATTCTATTCTATTCATAAAGATCAAAACAAGAAAAAAAAAGAAGAAAAAAACGAGCATTAAAATAATATGACAGAAAAACATAAAATCCCAAGATGTTTTCGGTTCCAGCATGAACTGTTGTATTTACTTATATAATTTTGTGTTTGTGTTGCAATATATAATATAACAAATATTAAAAGGGAATCTGTGTTATTTCTTTGATTGTGTGGTTTAAGTCATCTTAACTGTCTGAACTTTTTTCCCCCTTAAATTGATGTGGTTGTGGTAAAAAAAAAAATAACACGGAAACTTCCGAGTAGTTCCTGAAGGCAGCGCAGAACTGCCACTCAGTCGCAGAAGTTCGCTATGTCGTGTTGTCCGCCAGGGGGCGCAGTCCGGGAGGTGTGTTGAGGGCGGGGGTGCGGAATCCAAACACGGCACTCCGCTTCTCTTCTCGTACCATGAGCTGAATCTGTCCGGGACAGACCAGGGAAGATGGCGGCCACTGACCATTCCCGGTCCGAAGCTGCCAAGCAGCGACGGCAGGATCAGCTGCAGCGATGGCTGGGCTCAGAGACGGATCAGACGGGTTCGGAGTCCCGCGAAATCTCGAGCGGTTCCGGAACGCGCCGGGCGAAAGTTCGGTTCGCCCAAGGAGCCGTATTTATGGCTGCTTGCTCCGCCGGAGACCGGGAGGAGGTGGCAGCGCTGCTCCGACAGGGAGCTGACATCAACCACGCTAACGTAGACGGACTGACAGCGCTTCACCAGGTAGGAAGTTTTGCCCCTCTAACTGTCAGCAGCTAGTTTTCCTTTCTGCCCGAGCTAATCGCTACAGTTGCTACAACTGTCGCTCATCTAAAGGGAAAAGGGCTGAGCGTTGATCCCTTAATGATCCTCACAGCGAAGAGGACTCACAGGTAAAATGGACCACTAACGTACTTCCAGCCCAGCAGCTCCTGTAATCCATCACTCATTCCTCTGTGCGTTTGTTTTATAAAGTCCGGGAAGAGTTTCTGGCCTGTTTAACACTAGCAAACTTGGTTTATTAGCCCGTTGGGAGGCTGTCTGATCCGCACTGTTGCATTTAGTAAATTACAGGCTTCTTTTTATGGCGTAAAAAAAAGCGAACGAGAGGGCAGCAGACGGTAAAAACCAAAGAGCCTGGTGGACCATTTTTAGACAGTTATGGGCAGGCTTGTGGCATACAGTCCCTGCCGAAGAGTCAGGAAAGTAGTGGGAGAGAGAGTTTCACCGTCCTATCTAAAGGTCTTAAAGCAAAAAAGAAAAGAAGGAGGGCATTATAACTGAAGTTTTCACCCTTGCATTTATTATTGCAGTTTTCGTGATTGTTGCGTTCATGAATCGAAGATAGGCTGGACTTGTTCGGTGCATGTTCAAGTCCTCCTCTTGTCCCTGCTCTTGACTTAAGTCATAACACCCAGGCTCACTCTGGACACCATCACTGTCACACAGGCCCTCGGTGATGCAGCATTTCCTCCACTTTAATGGCACTGTGTGGTAAACACATTGCTGTCTCATCTCATAAAGTGAAAGCAGGGTCAGATGAGTTTTGACCAGGATTCCTGAGAACATACAGAAAAGATCTGCTTCGAAGTCCTCTGGCCTGCGTGCTCATGCAGATGTGGTTTTTCCCTCCCAATTTTGAGGCAGTTTAGTGAATTTGCCCCACCACGGCTGGTTCAGATGAGTCTTCTGGTGGCTCCACATGTCCGACCGGTCACCCAGTGTGGTCTCCCTCCATCCCTCTCTCCCCCTATTGCTCATCGGTTGCCTGGAAACTCGAATTAAATATAGGGCCCGCACTCTCCAAACTTTCCATCCTCTTCATCCAAAGCCTTTTCTGTCTTCTCCCTCCTCCTCCTCTTCTTGCTTTCTCTTTCTCCTTCCCTTTGCCAGTTCCCCATGGAGGGGACTTTAGGGATTTCAGATGAAGAAATGGAAAACATGCCTCAAACAGCACAAACTGCTGTTGTCAAAGGCGATTTTCACAATGAGTCACTTGATGACCCAGTGAAGGAGTCTGCTGAGAGTGTGTGTATGGACCGTCGTCACACGCAGGGTGCCAGAAGTACCCACTGTTCATTCATTCAGCTCAGAGCACCCACTCCATTAGTGGGCGACCCCCGCCCCCCCGCTCCGGCTGTTGCTGAGCCCCATTTTCAGCTCTTACAATGATCACATTTTTGTTTTTTGTTTTTTTCCCCATGCATTACCTGCCTAAATCTCTCATATTATAAAAGGGAAGGAGGAGGCTTTCCCCAGCTTTGTGATTAGTTGATTTAGCCTAAAAGAAAAGCCTCTTAGGTGGCTTAAGACAGGCCTGATGGAGACGTTTCTGTACGTGTTACAGACACTTGGCGCTGTGACGTCCCACAGAAGAACTGCTTCGGTAACGTCACATTTTTTGAGTAAATATCATCTCACCTGCTGACATCAGTGAAATGAGACACCAGTGCAGATTAGATTAAACTAATCATTTTGTTGTTAGTATTCAGTTCAGCTTTGCTTCAGAGTCACAAAAAGATAAATCTCCACCTTTATCAAGTATTTATAGCCATGCCACTGGCTATGTGGCGCATTGGCCCAGGCCAATCTCGGCAACTACGCAGTAGATTGCCACTAAATTTATTATAATGTTTAAATAAACACTGTAGTCCCCAGAGGAGGAATCCGTATGACTTTGCAACCTTCTTCATGAAGTTAACATTTGTAGTTTTTATTGAAATGTATTGACAGCTATTTAAAAAAAAAGAAAAGTTTTTTTTCTAACTTCATTTGTATTTCAGAGTATTACAGATGTTTACATATATGCAAACTCTGAGAGAGCAGGAGAAACTGTGTTGGCACTGTATCTAAAATATGGACCGTCACTTTTGGTTTCACTTATTGATCACTCAGAATCGCTCTCCTTTTGGAGAAGCAGCATCGTCGAAAACTCCTCCAAAGTGAGTCTGCAGCAGCTTGTCTTTGCATACATGCACATATGAGATAAAATACAGAGGAATAGCTTCATTGCCAACAGGTACCCACTAAAAAGATGGCACACCATGATCCCTCTTTTAATAAAGAGTGGTTTCATTGTTTACGATTGAAAACGTTCTCTTCTGTTCAATTTAGCTAGTTTTCAGAGAGGGTGCCAGTTTTAGTTTTAGTGTTCTGTAATTATTCAGAAGCTCAGGGCGGCGATCACAATGCAAACACCTGATTCACAGCCACACATGTGGTTTTTCCAGTAAACACAAAAGTATTTACCAAAGCCTATTCGTGCTGATTTTGTTGACAAAGTTAAATAAGACAAAAACTTCAAAAGTGTAGTTTTTGATTTTATTTTGTTACTTAAAATATTTTATTTCCCGCCTAGTTTTAGTCGTAGGCTATAATAGCCGTGGGGCAGCATAATGTCATGATATTTTTCATATCGTACCGATACCGGGACACCAAATATCGATATTATCATCAAATCAATGAAAATGCTCATCTCATGCACCGCCTTCCCGAGATGGTGTTAGCCGAGCAAACTTGCATTAAAGCGACTTTACTGAAAAAATCGTCCAACACTGGACGCACACAGCATGACAAAACCGCATCCTAATTCAAAGTTACACAAGTTAAAATAGGAAAGAAACCTCCTTGCAACTAGAAAATCATTTTTTCACATTCTGCAACCGACTGCAACTTGTGGTGACTAAATGTTTGCTCAGAGCTCGAGGGCGTTGCACGCTCACGACCGCTTTTGATTACGAGACGATTGCGTAGGTCACCTGATAGGAGGCAAATTTTCTGCAAATATTAAATAAAAAATACTCAGAATATAGGAAAATGTTCAAAATTGCCATAATATCACATATTGAGTAAACTATTGTCTTACTTATTATCTTACTTTTGAAGTAGAGACTCACAAACACAGAGCATTACTAATATTTCATAGACAGGTGAATGGAATTATGGAGTGCTGCAAAGTTCAGTCAGTGAACATTTACGCTGCTCTAAATTGACAGTTAAACATTAGTGAATGTGAGCTAATATATCAGTGCGTCCCTGTAATTAAAAGACATTCGTAAATTAACTAATAATGCTATTTATAAAGTCAGTGTCTACATCAGTTTTCACCCAAAAATGAAGAATAACAAAAGCATAATCTTATGTTACTCCCTGGTCTTCGCACAGATTCTGAGCTACGGCTCATTTCTTTATATTTTGATAGGAAAATGTGAAATTGGTGTAGTGGTAGATACGGAAACATTTGCAAACATGCATGGAAATACATTATACAAGCTAAAAATGAAGCTTGTTCATATTTAATGCCTTTGAAAGTCAGTATTTGGTTTGGCCATCTTTATTCTTCAACACAGCCTGAACTCTCCTTGGCAAGCTTTCTTATCATTTCTTTGAGTACTCTTCAGGAATTGTTCTCCAGGCTTCTTGAAAGACATTCGATGCTCTTCTTTGGATGTTGGCTGCCTTTTTGAGCTCAAAGCTTCAAATTTGGATCCGTCAATCCATCAGGCGTGAGGAATCGGTGCTGCCACTGATTTTCAGTCCAGTTCCTGTGTAATTTGGTGCATACCTCAGGCTTTTCTCCCTGTTTCCCTTAATTAAAAATGGCTTATTGACAGCCACCGTTCTGATGAGACCAGAGCAAACAGTAGATGGATGAAAGGCCAGATCCATCTTTCTGGTCTCGGCTGGATTCTTTTTTTCCTTATTTCTTAAGGCCATGACTTTAAGAGACTGTCCATTTGCCAGTTTTTTATTTTTTAAAGCTACCCACATCTCCTTTTTGTCATTCACTTGTTCTGTTTCCTCAGTGTTTAAGGACACACTGCACACCATGCCGGGAAATGTTGTCGTTAGCTAATAGCTGCCAATTAAAAGTGGTTATTGGTGAAGTTGACTGTTACGTTTAGATTCAAAACGTGTTTATCTCTTGAGTTAGTTTTTGAATGATTCATAGGTCAGAGTTAAGTGGCTTAAAAAACCAAATAAAAACATTCCTCTGAAAACCGTCAGCTGAAAATGAGTGAAAAAGCAGCCAAAAAAAACACTTATTCAGTACAAGAACCTTCCATCTGGCTCTTTTTAATAAATATTAACTTAAATCAAAGTAACCTATCATAGCAAAATCTCATGAGGTCCTCGTGGGATTTATCCCGGGACTTGTGTTTGATCACACTTAGATTCTTTGCTCGACCTAGCTTGAGGAAAAGCTGCTAAATAGAATCGCTGTTTCACTTGTGCTGCAAAATGACTGTTTTGGAAAGTACTTGAGGGCTTTTAGCAACCCACTTAGCAGAAAGTCATTACAGCAAGGAGACACAGTAGTCATTGTTTTAGCCCCGCTGCTTTGGTTGAGTTTAACAGATTTTGGAAGACTCTGGAGTTTTGCCTTTAGCAACGAACCATGGTGAAGTGGGTCAGAGACCTCCTCTACTGTACTGAAACTGTACTCAGACTGGCATCCATTTGTTAATGTCAGAATAAACAGTAAACACTTGTACACGGCACTCAATCATGCGGACGTTTGTCCTCTGGCAGGCCTGCATTGATGAAAACGCTGAGATGGTGCAGTTCCTGGTGGAGAACGGGAGCGACGTCAACAGAGGAGACAACGAGGGCTGGACTCCTCTGCATGCTGCAGCCTCCTGCGGTTTCATCCAGATTGCTAAGTGAGTGTCGACCACCATCACTTTGTCACATCACAGCCGAGTGGTGCTGAGGGATTAGAAAACACAGACGTAAATCAGTGTTAGATAACACACATAAAACTCACACATATTCAGGGTTTTCCCAGGCTCGTGATTGGCCTTCTGGAGAGAGGGTTGACTGCACAATCGGTCGACATACATTTAAGGCTAACAGTCGGTGTTACTTGACTTGAATAAAAATGTATTTTAAACTCAGTGAACCAGTGATCTTCCTTTTGACTGAAGGCCAAAAGCTCATCGGAGGGTGCCAAGAAAACTCGTTTATCCTCCATTCAGGTTTTACCGTTGCTATCTGACAAATGTATCTTTGTTTTTTAAGGTATCTGATAGAACACGGTGCTCATGTTGGAGCAGTGAACAGCGAGGGAGAGCTTCCTCTGGATGTTGCCACAGAAGATGCAATGGAAAGGCTCCTGAAAGCTGAAATTAAAAAACAAGGTAAAAGCAACAAAAACGGGAGAATTGGAACCTCTCCTCTCCACCTTTCTGGTGTCCTCCCTCTAAGTGACTCATAACATGCAGTCACATTAGCTTGTTTGACTATTGTGATTGCTGGGTGCCGTACTCTAGTGCACTTTAGGATGTGGCTCCAGGTACAGTTCAGCTGGACTTGGGCACAGTATCGATTGAGATCCTAGCCTTGAAACGCTTCCTCAGTTTTAAGGTTAAGCACACGAGAAATATGGGCAATTGTGCAAGATAACTGCTCCCAATGTGAGCGCACGGGGGCTTGATTCAAGGTTGTCAGTTCTGTTGGGATGTGCACATCCATCTTAATAATTAAAAGACAATATAAACCCTACTTTTGTGTAGAATCAACACAAATGCAAGGTTGCTTGTAATCGGATATTGTGCGTTTCCGTGTTATCTGTATTTTTAGGTCCTTTAATCAGACAAACTTGCAATCCTGTAACCGAAAATCAAATTTTCAGTGTGATGAGTGATGATGCCAAATTAAAAGAGAACTTTTATGTACAGTCAGTAATCTTACTGAAGTTAGAAGACTGAAAACAAACGTGAGCTCACATGTGTTAGTCAACCGAAGCGATGATGTTGGGAGTATTTCAAGGAATTAACTATACTGATGATCCTCCACAGCTTTGGTGCCAGTTGCGTTAGTTTTTCACAAGCAGCAATAATCAGGAAATCATACAGAGCTCAGGCTTCAGGTTTTTTTTATAAATATGGAGCCTCAGAACCTAATTTTTTCCTTTTTCCTGTTCATTCCAAAAGGAGGCAAAGAAACAAGGACAGCCGCCGTGCACCAAATGTTCTGTGACCTTAATTGTTCTGGACTCCAGGCTTGTGCTTTTATCTCTGTCGAATGCGTGTTAGCTGAGATCCAAATACAACCGGGAGCACAGATGACGTGTATGAGATAAATTTACACGCACAAGTATTTATTTTTTTGTGTGTGGGATGCTTTACTTACAGAATTGTCCTGTAAGCTTTTCGTAAACAAAACTTAAGTTAGAGTACATTAAACCTGACTTGTAACCCCGATGTCATCACTCATCATAGATCTAAATGGAAGGGGAGTTTTAGATGCTTTGAAGTGCTTCTTAACTCGAGGTTGTCACTGCTTGTCACAGGAATAGACGTGGATACGGCCCGAAAGGAAGAGGAGAGGATCATGCTCCGGGATGCCATGGCGGTGCTGGCAGGAGACGGCACACTCACACCTCACCCAAACACCAAGGCAACGGCTCTACATGTCGCCGCTGCCAAAGGCTACATTGAAGTCCTGAAGTGAGCATAAGTGCACACATAAGAGCAGCTTGTTGACTTTTGTTTAATTTTGTTACCACGCCAAGTCAAACGGCTTTTATTCTTAGCCTTGTGCTCTCCCCCACCTCCACTCCTCCCAACTCCCTCACCTCGCTCAGGGTACTGTTACAGTGCAGGGTGGATGTGGACTGCAGCGACACTGACGGGTGGACGCCTCTGCACGCAGCAGCTCACTGGGGGCAGGAGGAGGTGTGCAGCCTGCTGGTTGACAACATGTGCGATATGGGTGCCGTCAACAATGTGGTGAGGGCACGGCGAACAAGCTTTCCCTCTGCAGTTCAGTCTGTGATTGGAGCTTTAGCATGTGCCATCTCTGATCACTGTGGCTGTCCTTGTAGGGACAAACACCTTTAGATGTTGCAGACGAGAACCTCGTGGACGTTCTGGAGGAGCTGCAGAAGAAGCAGAACGCTGTGAGTCTGTCTTCACACACACACACAAGGCACTGTGACTATCTCACTTGCTCGGACAGACCTGTCATGATTGATGGCGTTCCAGCGGCGAGTGCTCTCTGTGTTTATGTCTGTTTATATTCCTCTTCAGTTACGTAGCGAGAAAGAGAAACAGACTCCTGTTATTGAGCCCATTTCGCATATCCCCATGGTACCAGTCCGCCCACGCAGGTCAGTGCCAGTGTGTTGGTGCGTCCGTATGTTTGTGTATATCTGTGTGTGTGTGAGTGTGTACACGCTATGCTGTTCCTCAGCCCAATCCCAGTAATCCTTCATCCAGCTGTTGTCTGCATGCAGGTGTGACAGTCCCAGTGTTCCCATCCCTTCAGCTGTGTTACTTCTACCCACCAACCTGGGTAGATGTAGCAGTCTGTCTCTCAGTTTCATACTGAATATTAATGCTTTCTTTTTAAGTCTGCATCTGATCACATTGTAAATGCTAAATCCAGCCTGTTGCAAATGGCAGCTTACAACCAGTGTTGGGTGTAATGTGTTACTAAGTAATGCATTACTGTAATTAAATTACTTTTCCACTGAAAAAGTAGAGTAACTAATTACTGTTCATTTTTAGGTATTTTAATTACAGTTACTTACAATTTACTTGCGTTACATTGTAAAATAATTAAACTGGCTGAATATCATTATTTAATTTCAATAATTTGTCTTCTAAACGTAAAAGTAAACTCTGCCGCTTTAACATCGTTGCAGTGCAGGTGCACATCATTTCGCCAGTTTGCTGCATAGTCTTATTCTAAAGCAGCGGTCCCCAACAATTTTTGCACCACGGACCGGTATGAATAAATTTTCTTTTTTTCAGTACCGGTACTAGTTTTATTTTGTTGTATTTATCCGCGACACCTTAAAGGCCGGTCCATGAAAATATTGTCGGGCATAAACCATACCTGAAAAGACCCAGGAAAACCGAGTAAACGATAAAAACGATAACAAAATAACGCTGAAAACCGAGAAAAACCCTGAAAACTATACATTTCACACCCGAGCCTCAACTCTCGCGGCCTGGTACCAAACGACTCACGGACCGGTACCGGTCCGAGGCCCGGGGGTTGGGGACCGCTGTTCTAAAGCGGAAGATGTCGGACTCGGCTGAAGCGAGTGGCTGTTTTATGAAATGGACATATTCCCGTCTCTTCACCTTTCTGAAACAAGCAGACAAGAATATTACAGTAATATGTAAGCTATGTCCTGGGGAGAAAAAACTATCGGCTGCTGTTAATAGCACGAGTAATCTACTGAAGCGCCTGACACGAGAGCATAGACAAACACTTCCGAGTGATCCTTGTTCATCATCTATGGATAACACCGCGGCAACTCCTGCTAAGCAGGCAAAACTTGATTTTACTTCAGCAGCACAGAAAGCGTCTGAAGGTGAGCTTAAAAAAGGATTGCAGGCTACATTGTGGAAGAGATGCTACCGCTGCGTACTGTAGAGTCTCCGTCTTTAAAAAATGTATTTATTATTTAAAGAGTTCAAGGTTTATAGGGATTTTAAGAAGTATTTAGTAATTAAGTTACTTTTCAGACACAGTAATTAGATAAGCATTTTAAATACAATATTGACTAAGTAATTAGTAATTAATTACTTTTTTAAAGTAACTTACCCAACACTGCTTACAACAAATAATTAAGTCCCCCTAGCAAGACTATATTTGCCATCAAACACTAGAACGAAAAAAATATATTAACAGTAAAATAAAATGGTGGGTGATACGAGTAAATTCCAACATCGCAGTATATGCAGCGTAAAAACTACAGTGAAGGTTGGTGTGCTCGCTCACAGAACATCCGATGTGATGTGCTCATGTAAACAGGGGATCAAGAAAACAGTGTTAAAGATGTATTTCATACATTTAAAGATGGTTGAGATGGTTAGGTAGATGGATTCTTTTTTTCTGTACATGAAAGATTCCAAGAACAAAGACAAACAAAATTACAGATGGAAAAAAAAATGCCAGTAACTTAAAGACATTCAAATAATGCTGTCATATTCCTTCACGTTAGATATTAAAGACTAAACAGTCTTAAATTTGTAGGATCCTCTTTGCTCTTAGTACGAAGGGCCTTCCAGGCCAAAAGGGTGGAACGGAATAGTAGAGCAGTAGATGCACAGGATATGATGTAATGTCAGAAAAAGGTTTTCAAATTTGTGACTTCTCATGCAGCAGTGCAAGCGTTTGCAAGCAGTTGATTAAAAGCTCCACAAAAAAAAGAAAAAATATATAAATTTTTTATAACATTTTTTTATAACATTTTGTTAACATTAATTTAACCAGGAAACTCTAAAGGTAAACAATGTGTCTTTGGAGAGTGTCCCAAGGTGTCCTGTTGTTATCCCAGCATGTTTCTTTGTGTGCTAACAAGATGCAGTAGACAGTAGAAATAAAGGACTTTTTCAAAACTTTGCAAAAACCGGTAGAAGTTGGTCAAGCGGGGTAAAAGAAACAGAAACTGACTAAAGCATAAATATTTCTCTGTAATGTTGAATTGAAAAGTCATGTAGAACTAAGCGAGGATGTTTTAAGTTTTCAGGTAGTATAAAATGATTGCCCTCTAAGTGTTGTTGACGATATAAACGCATACTTTGTTTCTCCGTGAAAAGATCTTTGAATGCCATTTTTCACTGTTTCTCCTTCTCGAGTAAAAACAAGTATAATTCAAACACTTTTCAGAGGATGGGTGCTTTGCTGTTGATGTCTTGGTTAATAGGGCCAAATGTGCACGTAAGCCATATTATTTACCATTAATATGTAGTGTGGCACTGAGAGACAGCATTTGTTTTTTTGTTTTTTTCCACTTCTGTGGCTGCTCCTTAATCTGTGTGAATGATTTCAACGTTTCACTTTAAGGAAACGGCTCGAATTGGTGCAAAGCAATTGGCCACAATTACAAACGAAGCAGAAACGGCAGCACAGAAAATGACCCACTGTTTCACCTACCGAGGTCTTGATTGATGCATGCTCGCTCTAATTGGCTGCACATGGAATGATTACCCTCACTGATCAGCTCCCTGCATGCCACCTGTTGTTCCACCCCCCCCCCGAGTGTATAAACCTATGAATCACGCGAGCGCCTGCGTACCTTGGTGTCAGCCTCAGAGCTGAGGCGGGGGCTGGAGGCAGAGCGGCTCATGCCGAGGCCGGACTCTGGAGGTCTGCTGGTGTCCTGGCTGGGGTCAGATAGCCCAGCTGAGCCCAGAGTCACAGAGCTGTCCGCCTTCCTCAGAGATGTTCTCCATGAC